GTGGGTCAGGTAGCGATCGCCTACTTTCTGGTCAACCAGCGCGGCGACATCAAGAGTCTGGGGGATCAGCTGGAGAATCAGAACAGAATGAACATGCGGATGACCAATGGAGGATCTGGTAAGGAAGCGACACTCAGTGCACATTAGGAGCATTGTATTGTAATATAGGCTTTTTTTCTTTTTCTTTGCCGTGAATATATAATGGATTGTCAACAGTGTTAGTAATTTAATGGGTTTTTTTTTTTTAACATTAGTCATAGCTGAGAACATAAAAGATGGAATTAATTATGTTTTAGTACATTCATTCCTTTTACTTTCAGCACACGGTTATCACTAATCAAACCTCTTAGAAAAATAAGAGTGACTTATAAAGAGTTCCCTATTCAAAGCAAAGCATTGGCAGTGTTTTTTTCTGTTTAAACTGTTCAAGTTTTCAAATGTTACAAGTATCGCACCTGAGCTGTCATCCTCACATAAAGGGAAATTAATAATAATGTTCAAGAACAAACAAGAAAAACCCCACAAGATTCAAGCCTATGATGAACTGTTGATAAAGAAACAAGTTTTCTATCAACAGACTGAGAGGGCACTGAACAAGACAGTCTGAACTTAAATTTGCCATAATGAAAAGAAGAGTGTTTGAAAGAGTTAAGGCTTGACTTTCTAAGAAGGTTTGTCAAGATTTTTTTTTGTTTTGTTTTGTTTTACGCCTGATGGTGGCAGAATCGCGCTGAGCATCCTGGTGGAAAACCTCTTCCAAATTGTTGAACTTCAGAATTAAGTGGCTGGAGCTCAGACACAGCTTGTTGAATCATCTGACCACCGCTGTAGTCAGGCGTTTTTCAATGAGCCTCTCGGGTCAATATAGTTAGAAAACCATACTGGTTTGTCCTCAAGCGCCTCTACACACTGAACATTATTAAACACCGAGGAGGCCTGTGTAGAGGACAGATTCTCACAGGTTGCTTGTCTTTTCGTCTGCAGCTTCGGTGCCTGTGAGGATGCATATCCCCATGAGCCCTGCACTGGAGATGATGGATACCACCATGGAGGTAAATGATGATTTTAGTCCACTTCCGTAATTCCCTCCCTCCAACATGTGTAATATTAATATGTGTTCTTGAAGTAAATATCTTTTATTTTTGTCAAAGCAAGTCACCTCTTATTTTTGTTAATTTTTAATTATTTTTTTTTTGCGCTGCAGGAGGAATCAAGCGGAACTAAAAAAACCAGTATGTTTCTGCTTAAATTACCTACTTCCACACAATTAATGGGATAATCTTGTCTACATAACCAACAAACAAGTGCGGTAACAAATTTTTAATACCCTTTCTTCCAGCCACTCCCATAACCCAGTGCCAGCTGGAGGCTGCTGGTGTGAATCCAGGCCCGATGCCTGGCTTCTTCCCCAGGTGCGACAGGCTGGGTCTGTACACGCCCCGGCAGTGCTTCCAGGATCAGTGCTGGTGTGTGAACCCAGCCGACGGGCAACCGATTCCCGGAGACCAGAGCTGCATCGGATCTGCCTCTTCTGGTGAGATACTGTGGCCTTCAGATTTTGTGAAATAAATAATGGAGATGACTGCATTTTGTTTTATCAACTGGAAACTGTTTTGGCCCAATTTGTTTTACAAATATAAAAAACTTTATGGATTTTTCAAAGTATTCTTGATATGATTAATAGAATTAATCTTTTATTATATTATTTTAGTATCCTGACAATAGATAAGAGGTTACTGACATTTAAATGTTTGTTTTTTGTAGGAGGTCTGATGACTCTCAACCAGAATTTCGTGAGTAAACAATTTTTTATAACAATAATATTCGGCTAAAAACTACTTGAACCCTAACCTGCTGTTCTGATTGAGATTGTGTGTTTCAGAACTTCAAACAAATTTTAATGTGGCGCTCAGTTTTCCTGAAATTTTTGAAAATGCTGTTTTCAAAAGATGATCTCTTCTATAAAGGGAAAAATACTTGATCCAAACCAACCCAGCACACAAAGATGCAACTGCTGATTCCTAAACCTAAACTTTGGTGACAGCAGCTACAAATAAACTTTTGTGGTAACTAGTGAGTGGAGGAATTTTTGCAGGATTGTTTTAATTTAGTTTCATTCAGATGACTTTACTAGTTAGCTTAGTTTGAGCTTAAAGTCTCTTATAGTGAGGTATCTTTCATGACTTTCTACTAGAGAGCGTGTGTGGCTCTTTATAGTTTGACTAGTTCAACTGTTTCTTGTGACCGTTTTTCTTACAGTGTTCATCTGCTCTTGACTCTTTTTAGAATCGACTTTGATTGGTCACTATTTGACATTTTAGCTCACTTCACGTTGTCAGACATGTTCTGTTTAAGCCATTTGTTGATTATACTGATTGCAATCAGGTCTGGGTGTGTCAATGAAACGAAACCAGCTTCTAAAAAAGGCTTTAATTACATTTATCATTTAACAACAGGGCAGTTACTCTTTCATATGCAGCCAGCTTGGTTTGGATCAATTTTTCCCCCTCAGTGAATAACATAATCATTTGGAAAAAATAAAAAATGCTTTATGTTACTCATTTTTCTATTTTTGGCTGACTGTAGTTTATAAGCAATTCCAATAACTGTATACATATTGTAAGGATGTGCTCACATTAAATTTTATTCTTGTTTTTTAGATTGCAGCTGATGCCTGAATCTCTTTCTAATGAACAGAAACTGACATCAGTTCAATTTCTGAGGACATCTTCCAGCTTTGCCAGCTTTTTTACAACAATTTAAATAAAGATAGTTTGGTGGTGGTGTTCATTGTTACTGATTTTATCATTAATTGGATTTCTTTAATGTTTTCTACTTTCCTGCAACTGATGTGCAAGCAATAAAGTGACTGCAGGTCCTTTTAACATGCATCTCATGGATGGCTAAATAATTTTATTTTATTCTGATTCTGTAACACCAAAAAAAAAAAATTTGATATTTCGTATATGGATGTCAAAAATTAGGAGAAAACCGTGTATTAATCTGTATTTTAAAAACAATTTATAAAACAAACACAGTTGTCATTTTTTCTTTATTTGAACAACTGAAATAAATCTGTTACAGTTTTGATGAGTTTTTTTTTTTCTTTTTTTTTAATAACGTCTCAGTGGAATTTCAATCTGTGGAGGCAGGCAGGAAAAAAATAAAAACAGGTTCAAGAAAAATGAAGTAGTGCAAAATAATTCCAGGAGAATACTTCTAAAAGCAAAACAGAAAACTCAAAACACCAAACCATGCATAGCAATACAAAGGAAACAAAATGATTGTCAGTAGGCACATCTTCACTCTTCTGTTTCAGATATGAATGATTTTCTGCTTTACCTTCAAAGGCAACTTTAAAACAACAAAATTACACAACCAAAAACAGTTTCAAATCAGATTTTCAGCTGTGGCTTGATTTTTCCAACAGATGTGCCCTTTTACATCGCAATGGAAACTATCAGTGGTGTGAAAAATCCCCATGCTGCTCTATAGTCATGCAGATGGGAAAAAATGTGACATTTCCAACCTATTCCAACATTTTTTTTCTTAAATATCTTCAAATTAATCGCAATTCAAACTTGACGCTAGAATTGCTTCAATAATCTTGCAGCCAACCAGCAGGGGGCTTTTTAAGATAAAGTGGACACATGCAAAAAAGTGAATTTTGTCCAATATGTTAAATATCTAAGAAACAAGTTTTTGACACATTATATGGTAAATATAGCTTTCTCAAAAATAACGTAACAAGTTTAAATCTCTAAAAGAAGTGCAAAAATACAAGGAACCAACTGGTTTCCAGCATTAAACAGGCAGCCAGATCTGAGAGGAAAAGGCTATTGCACACATGGCATGAGATGAGTTAAAGTCAAGTCCAAACCAGATTAGGCACTCTTGACACATAAAACAAATTTCCACCGATATTCTCTGGGGCAATGACACTACACATAATTTAAGTGTATTTTTAGCTTTTGCGCACACTTCAAACTACGATACGAATTGTTGACAAGTGGAGACGGGAGAGTTGGATGCATTGGGTGGGGCAAAAATGTGTCCAACATGTAAAACAGGAAAGTAATTTTAAACATTCAGCAAAAACAATAGTTACATGAATTCTGTAACCAAAAAAGGAAAGTGCTGTAGGCAAGCCACTTTGTACCATAAATGTTCTATCACCTGCAAATAATAATAATAAAAGAAAAAAAAAACAGTTGGGATCTAACGGGTTACACAGAGATGTACGCTCAGGGCCAGGCTGAGGCTTTTACACAGAAAAAACAAAAACAAAATACATTGATTAAGGCGCCTGTAGGTCATTTTTGATCGACTGAGGGCATGAGATGCTGAAGAAAACTCATAATTGGTGGTGAGCAATACCACAGCATTATTGTAAAATTAAAAATGCAATAATCAAGCTTTTACTGGCCAACACATATTTCCAGTTCTCTTTAACATCTGGGCCGATTCCCATTTTATTTTCTAAAGCCTTAAACACAAAAGAAAAAAAAACATGTGATCCAGGATCTTTTTACACAGGCAAGTAGTTTAAATCCAGCATAAAGTTATGAATGGAAGTATATCTCTTTATGTTCCACATGATTTTTATTCAACTAAAAAAAGACATAATTTTGGTTCATTATGGACCAGTGATGCGGGTCTTCGTTAATCATGATTAATTGAATGAATGGGGGAAATATTAGCAGATATTTTCAGCAATTCACATGATGAAGTGGTGATTTGTTGTCTCTGATTGGCTGATTAGTGCGTCTGTAATTAGAATATGTCTACCAAACATATTCTGCTGCTCTTTGCTCTTGTGCAGGTGCGTACATTTTATTTTGCTCATTCTTATTTAGCTTTATAAAATACCCAACTTTTGAGCTTTCCCATAAACTCAGATTATATATTCACAAATGTTCTTTTAATTAAATATTCTGCTACTTATTTTTCTTTTATAGCAGTTGGGAGACAGAGCAATTGTGAGTATGAGCGTTATTACATGTTGAAACTGACCAATGTATTGTTTTTTTTTTGTTCTCCCCACTTTTGTTTGGTAAAATTGTCACAATGCGTTTCCATTTCCATCTCTGGGGATCCTCTCAAAATACATATTTTCTCCTCTTTTCAACTGCAAATATTTTCATTTTAATTCTCATTAAATGCTCTCTGCATTTAGGATGAATTTAGCTCAACATGATACAAAAAAAATAAAAATAGTTATCAAATTGGGACTGAGTGTTATATAAAGAGCAGATCAGAGCTGTACCAGCGTCACTTCGATGTTGTAAACTTTCTCTATTTTGCCACTTCCTCCTCATTTACGTCGTCCTTTCAGGTTCTGTATGTACTCCTTGACGGTGTTTTCGATATTTGGTACAGCATAGTTTTGTGCCGCGTACATCCCTGTGCATGTTCCTATTGCGACTCCCATCAGCGCCGAAGAGCGTAGCCTGGCAACCACGTAACCGGCAAGGAAACCCTTCAAGAACGGAGAAGCGAGCAGACTGCCTCCCTGGAAAAGACGAGAAGAATCAGGCTGGTGGTTTCTCCAGCTGATTCACAGCAACATTCGCTCACAGTTCAGCCATCATTTCCAAAGACACAGAAGATTAAGACACTGTTTCCAAGTGAAGTTCAAAGTGAAGACAGCAGGCTGAATATTACTGCACTTATTTGAACTTGATTTGAACAGTAGCAAGCAAGCTGAAAGACCCAATTTTAAGTATAAATTTATCTACTTGAATAATTCAGAATGTTCAATGAAATAAAACAAACAAAAAATATTTGTAATCAAAGTAAAATCATTTTACTTTGATTACAAATATTTTGTCATTTCTAAGCCTTGCCATTTTGTTACTTCTGTAGTTTGGGATGTTTTCTACCCATTGAGCACCAAAATAATAATAATAATAATAATAATAATAATAATAATAATAATTTCATTGCATACTAATTACATCATTTAGGCTGTTTTGACAGCTGCTGAATAATTACCTATAATTTACTATATTTTTGTTTGATCAGAGGTCCCGATATGTGATATTTTTGAAGACTTAACTGTGCAAGAGATTTGAGAATTACACCAATCTCCATACTTATCAAAAATAATTCCTTATAAAAAATAAAAATACTAATACTCAACAGAGACAAGCATTTTTTTGGGGGGGATAGAAATTATAGACAATTGGTACAAAATCTGAATAGCAGCTATGGTGAATTGGTAGAAGGACTGGAGTAAACAGAGGAACAATACAATGTCCAAGTCCAATCTTTAAAACACATTCTAAACCTTGAAAGTTCGAGAGGCAAAATATGAACCAGTGAGAGTGAGGGGTGTGTGTATATAACACTTTCACCCTCAAATATATTATTATCAAAGTTTATACAGACCATTTCCTCTCTAAATGATGTCTGTCATTTAACCTGAACCTGCAGATCTGCACGTTTGTTCCAGTGTGAGGCTTACAGGAGGAATCCCAGCTTGTATTTCATCCTCCACTCGTTTCTGGATGTCCTCCAGCTGGTCTTTCAGCTCCACCAGGTCCCTGAGCTGACCCAGAGGATTCTGCATTCACATCCGTAGAAACACACAGACAAACGGGGGATTCTTAAAGCAGGGTTTACAGAACTAATTCATCATAGTAATTTACCACTTTCCCAGTAAATATTCAGTTATCGCAAAATGTGTCTTTCTACTGGCTAATTTTAGTTTTTTTTTTTTTTTCCTTTCTTTTAGTTTCACTGCAATGTGGATCAGTGTCAGAGAAGAAACTCCGTGGAAAGTGCTTCCTGAAACAGTCTGCTGGAGCTCAGTGTGTTTACATCCATTTGAAAACCTCATATTATGCTCTACTAGGCTCAAACTTTACCCCATAAACAAACTATTTAAGCATATAAACTGTGACGAAAAAACATCGAGCAAAAGTTTTTTTTTGTTATTTAACAGCTTGATAGTGATTGTAGTATTTGCTATCGGTTCCCTTTACTTTAAAGCGCTTTACACGAGAGTTCAATTGCAAAAACAAATAGGAAAAGGCTATTCTGACTGAAATAGCTCGAAGCTAATGCTAACCGACCACACGAAGGGCTACATCAATGACAGGGCGGCCTAAATTCAACATTCACGTTCAAAAGAGAGTTTGATAATAAAAGTACCGACCTTATCGTCTGACATTGCTACGATTTATCCAACAGAGTCTCCCTGGTTGTTTGAGACGAGAAGAACTAACAGTTCTTTTTCTGTGGCTATTAACAAAATGCGGTTGGTGAATTACCGCCACCAAGTGATGTGGGGGATGTATTGCAATGATGCTGAAACAGGAAATACACCAAATGTTACATCTCCAACTATGACTTTAAGTTTGATTGAAATTACCCTGATATATTATAATTTTCTATGCTTTGAAATCCTTCAAAAGCTAATTCCTTTAATTATTTTTTTTATTTTATTTTTAAAGATCTAATGGATCTAGCTCTCCTCACTTAAATTAATACAAGCAACAAATGCTATGATTAATAAGCTTTGTGTGTTGATTCTTATTTATGTTACGGTCACTAAGGTCTTTCTGTCAATACTGATTTCTTTGTTCTGAGTTTCTCAGTTCTTTTTGAGTATTTGGTCAGATTTTTTTTACTTTGTGTTTTGGTTCAGGTCTCAGTTTGTTCTGTCTCCATCAATTATGCCCCTTCCCTCGGTTTTTCCTCATCTTCCTTTTCCAAAGACAACTCCATACTCTTCTTGTTAGTTTCCTCTTGTTCTTATTGCTCTGATCGCTTGCCTGCCGACAGAAAATGAACAGAAATCACACAGCAACCAACATTCGAGTTGCAGTAATATGCGATAGGGATGCCTTTTCCTTTGAGGAGCTGTTCAGCTTTTATGAAGAAGGTCATTAATTCTGAGGTCATGCCCTGCTTTGGGTTTCTTTCCATTGTTGTAGAGGATGTAGTCAAGTCAAGTCACATTTATTGTATATGCAGGTCAATTAGGAACAAAATGAAACACTTCACAAGCAAAATAGTAAAAACCCCACAAATCCATCAAGGATCTTAGAAACAGTTCGACGGCCATAAATTTGAGATCAATGCTAAATTAACATAAAATATAAAGGCTGTAAAACAAACATTGCCCACATAAATATTTTATGACGTGTTATTGGACTGTCTGAGCAGCATTTAAAAATATTCTGGAGGTTAATTTTTCGTGTGTGAACTAAAGGTTAATTTTTCGTGTGTGAACTAAAGGCCTGCAGGGCTGATCAAAAACAGGATCTGAAAACGGTGAGAGTGGGAATGTGCTGCAAGACTGAGAAAGATGAAGCACGGAGAGCTCAGTGGGAGCACGGTTTATTCTGATCAGACACAAAGATCAAGCAAAAACTGCGGGTGGAAACGCTCTAGTGGATTTAGAAAGATTTACTTTGCTGAAGATGATTTTTACCACTTTTCACACCTTCTGTAACCTTTTTAGGAAACAGTGCATTAACCTCCTCACTCTGGCTTATCCCAGATAGATTTGACACATTTAAGCCGCAGTGGCACTCTGCATACTGTTAGACGAGTTGAATCCCTGTCTAAGCTCGTCCCTCCGGAGGAAAGGAGGTGTTTAAGGAGCCATGGAGGTAAGGCGTCTCTGATCTTCACTGCTGTTGATGATTTAGCGCAGTTATTGATTGTGGCTTTGTCCCATTTGGCTGACTAATCCTTGGACGCCTCCATAAAGGAAAGGTCACAGAAGCTTATGGTGCAGGGATTTCACTTATGTCTGCTAGGAAGTGTGTCTATGTACCATGAGCGTCAAGAAAAGACAGACCTATAGGCCAGAGTGCATGAAATGAGCTTTGGGAAAAACACAAATTTATTTATATTCCGAAAATAAATATTTGTCTTTTATAGCTTACAGGCTATAATGTCACCACCCATTATTTAATAAGCCTGTTAACATTTTACTGTCAAAAAGACAGAAAAAGGTTGGTGCTGTTAATCTAATTAGTGATCCAAATGGGTTTTTGAGTTTATAGAGGTTTGTGGGAAATAATTTATTTGAATATTCATTTTATCTACAGTGGCTTTGACAGGTTTTTCTTTTTTAATCTAAATATTCTTTGATTGTCAGTGTTTTGCTGCATTCATCTTGAAATCTCTTGTTTTCTGCATTTAGAGTGATCAGAATCACCCCTATTTAACTTGATATAGAACATCAATGTTTTTTTGTTTTTTGTTTTTAGAAATGTTGTCACTACTTTCTTTAAACTGAGAAGATATCAAGATGACACCATGTTTTTAAGCAGGTTGCAAGTTTTGGGTTGCAGAAATAAATGTGTACTGAAGCAAAGTTTATGTGTCAAAAACCCAAGAAACAAGAAAATGACGACAAGAAACTTGACACTGTCAATTTGGACTTGTTCAAAAACAGCTATGCTACAGTTTGTAAACCCAGGATCCACAGATGTGTCCAGGGATGTGTTGATACTAAAATTAAAGGGTTTGGCTATAATGACAGTCGTGATGTTTGGAGGGAAAACCTGAAAACATTTTCACATCTGTGAAGGTGACAGCACCATCTGTGTTGCCTGCGGACTTGAAGGGACAGGTACACTTTCCAAAATGGATGGAATTATGAAGAACCGATGTGGATTCTCAAGACATCAGCTGACAAGTTAAAGATCGATTTAAATTTCAGAAAAATTGTACAGAGAGCTGAAGAGCAAGTTGGCCTACAAACTTTGCTGCGTTTGACTAGTTATGTCTGGGGGGAAATGGGTCAAAATTGCTGCAAACTATTTTGAAAAGCTGACAGAAGGATAACCAGAAATATTTGGTCAAAGTTATGCGGCTTAAGTAAGAATTTTACCAAATACTGAGGATTTTAAAAAATCTTAGAAAGCTGAAAAATTAATTAAAAAGAAACTATTTAGGAAAAATGCGGTAAGTTTGTTCATTTTAACTGACCAAAACCCCCAAAATTATGTATCTGGATTTAATATATGAGAGTAAAATAAATAAGTAAATATAAATAGTCATGGATGGTGGCAGTTTTACAAACTCAGTCAAACCCAATGCCTCAGAATATGAAGGAAAATAACCCAAAACTGCTCTGAACTTTCTTATTTTCCTAATCTTTGAAGTGTTCAATATAAACTGTTTAAAATTGGCTAGCCTGTCCTAGCCAAACAAATAAGTAGTTGTCATTTCCTGACTAATAATTCACTTAAGGCTGCTGTACCGATGACTGCATTAATAAATTACTGCCTGCTGCCTTCCCACCCTGTCTCTCTGCTGTGGTATAAACACACGGCTAATGACAGCAAATGCTCTGCTGCTTTTGACGCCAATAAACTCTGTCATATGTTTTACTGATGTGACGTTTTACGTCAATGCTGTTTTCTGCAAACAGCAATGATGCAAATAGCCTGCAAAGCTTTCCCTGAAAGTTTTGCGCTTTAATTTATGTCTTTTTTTTCCAGCTGGGGATCACTTTTGACCCAGGTAATGAAATGAAAGCGTTTCATCAATCGTACGTCCTTGTTGTGTACCAAACAGCCAGAAGCTTTTCCTCTCAAACCTCAAATCTCAAAGCTTTTTAGGAAGCAGCAGGCTTCTTTTCGTGGGTGCGTGTGAGTGTGTGTGTGTGGGTGGGTGGACAGAGTTGGCCCATGTTCAGTGAAGTGCTCTAATTAACCTGCATGTTCAGTATTCAGTCGGTGTTTCCACTGACGTTCGCTGGCCGCTGCTGCTTTGCAGAGAGGAATGTGACTTGAAAGCAGGAGAAGTGGTTGGGCAGGGGAAGGAGCTCGACGTAATGTGCCCACTTCCTCCCAAAAGTGCATGACTCAGCATTTTCTGGGAACCAACAGATTATCTGCCACATGAGAAAATGAGGAAGCGCAGATGAATTATGGATTATTGTCCTAGTTTTTTTCTGAATGCCCAGTAACCTCAGCATTTGTTTAATCCACCAGTAGAAGTCAGCTTTTATTGACTTTGGTGGGAGGTGGGGGAAATGATTTTAATGCACAACATTTCTCTTGACTGTAGCTTTGAATCAATAGCATGGTGGACAGTTCAGACGCACTGCTTTGGCTTCCTGTAAGATTAACTATTCAATAACTCTACGTACCTCAGCCTTTCAACTTTAGATCAATGAACTGAAACGTCTTCCAGAGTTCATCTTTTCCAATAAAAAGTTAAACAGACTTTAAGCAATCCTGCCTACCATTATTTTATTTGGTTAATAAATAAAACACCACATTGCAAGGAAATGAAGCTTGTTCAAAGTGGTGCTCAAAACTCAAACTAAAGTTTGCGCTTCTTCTTTCCAAATGTGCTAAAAGTCCTATAAGAGACATTATACATTACACACCACCATCAGTGCATTAAAAGGACCGCTTAATTGGTGTAATACCAATAGAGTTTTCCATTCATTTTTAAGATGTGTGTCAATACTTTTTAAAGGACATTTTAAAATAAAAGTAAGACAAACTACTCAAAATGCAACCTGGCCCTCTTGTCGTTTTAATAAAAACAATTTTTTCCAATAGACGCACAGGAAAGTAGTTCTATTCAACCATCTATAATCTGCTTTCTGATAAGGCAGTCAGATTAAACATGCATCTCAATTCTCGTTACCTTTCATTAAGCCAACATTTCTGTGTTAAAAACATTTTTTGTATTTGTCTGATGTATTATTGTAATCTCAAATTATTTGTTTTTATTAGCCGTAAGTGGAAAATTACCATAATGGACAGGAATAGCGTTTTTAAAGCATCAGTGTAAGTGTAGTTACACTACCTTAGACAACAGAGGAACAGAAATAAGACACTATTCTAATTAAGTGAATATGACTGTCATATCTGCCAGAAAGGATGACAATATCACTAGATATATTAGATGTTAAAGCTAGCTTCATTGATTTCCCCCTATTTCCCTGGCAGTGCAACGTTTTTAAAATTACTTAATGGTCCTTTCTTATTTTATTTTAGTTTTTTACATAAAAACATCAAGCAGATTGTTCAGTTCTCTAAGTTGATGGTTAAAGTTTTGACAGAACCTGGAGGTTCTGGCATCCAATTAAGATCCATCATTTCCATTTCAGTGCACAAGGCTCTCTGGCTGCCAGCCACTAATGATCCCACTGTTCATACCGTGTTTGTGTGTGGAAGTAAAGTTGTCTTGCTCACGTCGTGGGAACTCCATTCTCTTTTCACAGCCGCTGTTTTGGCGACACATCCCCCTGAAGGGGGGGCAACCTTTCTTATTAAACAAAAGCTGCAGGACTGCGACTGTGGTTGTAGTGGGCTTTAAATACATATCAAGGCAAGCCGCTTCTTTCTCAACGGAGGCTGAAATAATAAAGTAAATGAGTATTTTGCAGTGTAGGAGTTTGCCCAGAAGGTGCCAATTAAAGGTTTTCGGCTCTGTTGCTTCTCTGGCACGACGAGGCAAGGTAAGGGAAGAGAGGTGCTGCAGCTCCACTGCACCACTCTGCTTTGATAGAGCTAGGTGTGTGTGTGTGTGTGTGTGTGTGTGTGTGTGTGTGTGTGTGTGTGTGTGTGTGTGTGTGTGTGTGTGTGTGTGTGTGTGTGTGTGGTTTACACATTTATTAACTTAAAGGAAAGGAAAACATGAAAACATCAATTAAAAGAGAAACATTTGTGAACCAAGGAAGGACTGAAAAAAAGAGAGAGTGAAAGGAAGGTATAAAAAAGAGAGAGAGAGAAATAGAAATGGGTGTGTCCATCCACTGGTTCCACTGGTGTTTCTCACTGGGGTCCTTCCTCTCTCTCTCTTTCTCTCTGTGTGATACTGCACTCCATTTACCCTGCCTCACTTTCTCTGGGTTTGCCAGCACCCTCCCTTCTCCTTCTCTTCCTCACACACACACACATGCACACACACACACCGGGGATGCCTGGATCAGTGGAAGCCCTGATCACTGTTAGTCAGAGTCTCTGGTCTGCTGAGGGCTTAACAGGTCTGGCTCAGGCTAAATCAAAAACAGAGACTTTTTCAGGACACTGTCATAACACGAATCCTCACGTTTCGGACAGATCGATTTTGGAAGATTACCTTCAGTTTCTGGACTTCATCCCCACAGAGGTGAAGAAGGAAATCCGGGGTATGACAGCAGCTAAAGCTATTTCTTGATGCATCTCAGGAAAGCTGTAAATGCTAATCTTATACATATTTTTTTATCTCTGAAAAGACTGGACCTGAACGCACGGAGCTCATGTTTTTGTTACTATTATTTTTATTAGAAATGTGATGTGCTAAATGTTCATGATGCAGCTGGGGGGAAAAAGGGTTTTCAACACTTATTAACAAAACATCAACAGGCAATTTAAATAGATTTTAAAAGACAAGCTGTAACTAAAACTGAGCTGCAGAAATCAATCCAACAACCAGCAATGGAGGCGCGAGGGGCCCGGGGCCAACTAGGAGGTCAAGACCTGAAGGGTCAGGGGATCGGCTTTGGCTTCCATCCCCCTGGACTCCCGGCCAGCTCCATCATAACTGCAGTCCAGCAGCAGGACTATTCGGCCAGCGTTTGGCTTCGCAGGAGGGAAAAACTCGAACACGTAAGTTCTGAATGCAGAGAAATACTGGAACAACCTGGAGGCTGAATGCAGAAGAGGAAGATTCATGTCCTGTAGACACTGGAAGGTGTTTTATCTCTGCAGCCACACTGACTGCTGCTATATCAGAGCTGTCAGGATACTAACATCAGTGATGAAGATGTAACTCTTGTAGCAGTGGTGTCCAAACGGTTTGGCGTTTTGTACTTTTTGGTAAAGAACAAAACAAAATGTTTTGTACTTTCAATTATAGTTGCAAAAAGTTTTTTTTTGTTGCTATTTTTATTCGCTCAATAAACGACACACTATATTTTAATGAAATAAGGAAAACAGTCAGATGTCTGTAGTTCTTTGCTTGCTTAAAATGAAAGGGGTCTTGCAGATTTGCCAGATTAAGAACTAAAAAAACAAAACAAAACAGCAAATCATATCCTAAATGTTTCATCTCTTTCCAGATTATTATTTTTTTTTACATTTCCTGGCTCAGTCTTGCTTTATTTGTCCAAGTTTATTAAACGTGGTCTCCATTTTAATAAAGTCCACTGAATGTTTTTGGTCCCCATTACTAATAACTTAAGACAAATCCTGGATTAATACGCTTTTGTTGCAGATTACATTTTCCATTTCAAGATTTTAAGACTTTAATCATCAAACCAAGTTTAGATTATTCTTGAAATGTGATGAAGGGCCTCAAACGGCCTCCTGGCCACACTTTGGACACACCTGCCTTATAAGCTAAATCATCAAAATGTTGTTGCTAAAATGAATGGGGCTGTGTTTTAACATTCATTCAGTCATTTAATCAGTTTATTAAAAAATCGAGAGTGTCTGGTAGCGGCAGCATCATAATGTGGGCATGTTATTTTCCAGCTGGGTTGGGGAAAGCTAGTGATTGGGTGATGTTTCGTAACAATTTGTTCAGGGCTAGACAAACGCAGAGCAAGAGCTCTGAAGTGGTTTAGATCCAAACTTGTTCACATCTGAGAATGGCCCAGTCAAAGTCCAGACCTTATTCAAAGAGAATCCATGTCAAGACTCTGAATTGATGTTTAGTGACTACATGAATCTGACTAAGCTTTTCTTAAGGTCTTTTTTTGCTGTAGTGTATTTGTATTTGTGGTCAGACAGGAGAGTGGGTCGCGTGAAAGAGGGATGACATGCGACAAAGGTGACCAAACCATGACCATGTTTGCCTTTTTGAATGCTCCGACACACATCAGCCATGTGCTGTTTTGTATTTTTCAAAATTTCTCACCATGAGAGTTTTGCACTTGGTGAGAAATTTCCTCACACAAGCTGCTTCTTTGATTCATTGTTTGCTGCTAGTGTTTTATTCGTTACCAGACAGAAGTCAGGAGCGGCTCTAGAAGCTCCCCCGCCTGCAGGTAAACAGCATCAACATTCAACGTTCGGCTTCTAAGCGTGGAGATTTAGCATCAGGGAAAAGTGTAGAAAAGCAGCGTGCTGAATATTTGATGGTGGAGGCGAACAGCGCCGGGTCCTCGGAGCCGCTTCCCAGTCTGTCTGCATAATCAGCCGGGATGATGAAGCAGCCTGTCTCCCTCCTGCAGTCTCACAGAACGGAGACAGAAGTTTAAGTTTGAAAATTGTTTTTTCTTGTCTACAAATTCCAGATCACAGACACGTGGAACCTCGCAGGAAATTCTTTTTTTATTTTCTGCAGACCAAATGCGCCACATTCACATGTATGTAGGCTCTTTATGCATTATTGAACAGTAGCTAAAGTGGACCTGAGCCTTACTGCTGCTGGAGTTGTTTTTCATTATTTTTGCGATCCTATCACAGCATTTGCTCCACTTTGGTCCAAGAGCAGATTATAATTCTGCTATTAGTCTATATAAAGCACTAAATGGTCATTTCTAAATTGGGATCACCAAGTCTTCATAGCATATGCTATGTTAAGTTGTTATTTCAGATGAGGTTTTGTATGTTTAATTAAACAAAAACTGAAGTCACTGGACGGACAGTAAAAGTTAGGACAATAATCCATAAATCATCTGCGCTTCATCATTTTAAAAGCTTTTTCTATCCAACAATCACAAACGTAAATGTCTAACTCTTGCTATATTGTCGAATCTCAGTGTTCAAGTGACACGAACAACAAACCCTTCAGGTGCCAGAGTGACTTAAAATAGAGGATGAATATGAGGAAAAGCACTTGATGCAAACTGTTATGGATAGTGAAGGATATGTGAGTCTGTTTGTCTCAAAGGCCCAATGTACTTAGTTGGAGTGCATCTTATCAATAACCCTTCAAAATACCAGATTTTAAAATAAAAGTTAAATCGATTATTTCTAAAAGAAAACAAAAAAGCAAAAACATAGGATACTACATTATTAGTGAAAGAAACAACACTTAATGGTCAAAATATATTACCCGATAAGAAGAAGACATAGAGATGTTCCAGAATAGATAAGTAAACCATTCTACACTAAATAAATGTGCTCAACTTCATAGTCGGATTTTTAAAATTCTCAGTGTGAGATACTTTTTATTCAATATTTCTTTTTTTTTTTTTTTTTTTTTTTTTTTTGCAGATCTTAGAGAGCAGTGGGGGAAAATTATAGAGGGAGCTGAATGCTGATAACATCTGACGGATTCGATTTCCCGGACCTGACGTGAAAAGCTAGATGTTTAATGAAATTTTCTTTGGGAGAAATGGTCTGCACATAAATCTACCGGAAGAGTGGGAGTTAATCTGCTGACAGAGACGATAAATGGAGTTGATGTGCTCACATTTTTATACTTATTTCAGAAGCATTGCATGTTCTTTTAGAATTCATGCTTTCGTTATTACATATCAATTATAAGACATGCTTCCACAGTTGAAACTAAATCAAAAACAAGTTTTTATACAAAGTTAAATCAGACTAAACTTCTCTTTTGTAGGTCAATTAAAATTATTGAAATAATTTCTAAAGGCTAAAAATAAAAAATAAGGTTTCAACTGTATCTTGTTTATGTTTACTTGCTAAAACTTGTGGTGTCCTTCCAGTAGAGCCCCACAGGGGAAACATTTGTTCTACTGTTTTAAGTTGTGGTCCAACATTTTTAAGAGTCGCTCCACAGGCATCTTGTTAAGTGTGATATAATCCAACCTACTTTAAGTGAGACGTGCTGCCCTGCTGGAGAAAGTAGACAGTTTTACCACATCATAATTCACAAAGGAAAACTGATCACACTGAAAACTGATCAAGCCTCACATTTAAATTCAAATTTGCTGATTTTTGTCGGCGCTCTGTTTGGTCACTGCTCAAAAAAATAAAGGGAACACTCAAATAAAACATCCTAGATCTGAATGAATGAAATAAATATGAAAATAATTTCCACCTGTTGTCTATTCCATTTGCACAACAGCAGGTGATATTGATTGTCAATCAGTTTTGCTTCCTAAGTGGACAGTTTGATTTCACAGAAGTTTGATTTACTTGGTGTTATATTGTGTTGTTTGAGTGTTCCCTTTATTTTTTTTGAGCAGTATATTTCATCACAGCAAAGCTACAAGCACTTCGTCTGATCCTAAGTCTGCTTTTGATCGATATGCAGTTTGAAAACGTTTTTTGTAATAAAACCATTGAAGCCACTGGGAACCGTAATATTAGTTTCTTTTTTATCAAGTTTTTATTAACCAGCCAGTGGCTCCATTGAGATCAAGACTTGTTTCACAAGACAATAACAAAACCTGAAAAATATAAAATGGTATGAATTTGACAAATCAAGAGCATTAGTAATTGTTTATGGATGATAAAATGTGCAAAAAACAAAACAAAAACATAATTAAATCATTAATGAAATGAAACGAACTGAAACAGCAACATTTTGAGCTTGACAACAGAAGCACTTCTTGAACAGTTTCATAAGATCTATCAAATATTCGTTGCTGAATATTTGAGGTTGGTTTTCACAAGCATAGGTTTTTTCTGTGTTTTTTATTAGTGTTTTGCTTATGTTTTTTTTTCAGCTCCACCTTGTTGTGGCACTGACGTGGCTTTTCTAAACTAAGTGCCTTAAATGATGCATTAAAAGTCTCTGAGTGGGAGCTGAGTAGATTGTCCATTTTGTCAAGCCGTTGTTATTCTGGACTTTCGGCGCACGAATGTCATCTCCGCTTTACACGCTTGCTTTTAGATTCACACGTCACCCTGGGAAACACTGTGCAATCTTTAACTTCCTCTGTTAGCTGATGGATCTAGTTTGTTTCAAACAAAACAGATCAGCAGCTGACAGGCTGGCTGGGAGGCTAACGCTGCATCACTGAGACAGACAGTGAAATCTCCCAGAGGAGTTTTAGGGATTGACATTTTGTAGTGGAGAAGCTGACTGCGTTTTCACTTTAGTGGGAGCGAGGTTGATGTATGAATCAAGTTGGCAGTAATGCTGGTCAGACTTTGTCAGGCACTAAGGTGATTTTCCCCCCTCGTCTATCCAAGAGGAAGTTTGGTTCACATACGTGTACTGATGGAAGAAAGTCTATGAGGAAAAGTAGCATTTATCCCAGCTGATCGACATTAATTCAGTGTTGCAGATTAAGAGTCAAAGAAATCACTGCATGTAATTGTTTTTTCATCTTGGGAATTTTGACGGAATGTTTTTGGAAAGTTGCACACACCACCCGGGATTTCAGGACCCATCAGCTGCATTGCATTCGGTCAGACAGTCTGATGGCAGAGAACGATTGATGCCAGATTCTAAATAAACGGCAAATTAATTCTTTCTTAGAAAATTAATAATAATAATTAAAATTGGAAAAAAATATATATATTTTGAAAGAAAAAAATTCAAAATTTTGTTCTTTTTAAAAAAAATTCTAAAAATGTTGGTGCTTTTTTTGGTATGAAAAAACAGCATCTTTTATACCAAATAAACGCTGCTTGTATTTATTTTTGGTTTAATGCAAGCAGCTAAATTTTGTTTGTGAAAAAGCAAACATTTTGCTGCTTAAGTTACTTATTCCAATATAAGAATCTGATCATATTAGCAC